TACATCCAACATGGGGCTTGAACTGATGACCCCGAGATCAAGATTTGCATGCTCTTCCGACTGAGCCAGCTAGGCACCTCAAGAACTCTTTGCCAGAATGGGCTGTCAGATTATCTGCCCACCCCATCCCCAACCTTCCTCTCTCTAGCTTCCTGCCTGTCCCCTTAGAATCTGAACAACCCTGTGCCTGGGTCTCATGGTTCACCCACTTTCCTAGTGCTAATCATCACAGCCTGCCTGGTGTGAGAGGTATTTGTGTACATGTCTGTCTCCTCCACCAGCACTGGAGCTTTCTGGGTACAGAACTATGTCTCTCAGTACCTTGCAGGAAGCAGATGCCACAACTGTTTAAGCAAAATGGATTTGAAGGCCTGAGCACTGTATACTGGATCTGTCCCCTCTATGACTCTTGGGTCCTGGTAGTGTCTGTCCCCAGGCCTCTGCCTTCCATAATCCCAGGGCTGGATTGAGATACAACAAAATCTGCAAGAACAGGGATCATCACCGAGAGGATGTGCTTACCACAATACCAAGAACACACAGTTCTCAAGCGGAGGGGTGTTGGTAAGAAGCATGGGCCCTTGGCTGGGCTTTGGTCAATACATAGAAAGATGGAGAATTCTGCCCTCAAGGAATTCAATGTCTGACAGGGGGAGTACAAGATAGACAACACAGATCTGGGAAAATAATCATCCTGACCCTGTGAAAAAACAATGTCACATACACCAACACACTCACCACAGATAGGCAGACACAGGTATGTGTATACTAATTTCAGGAGTGACCGGAGGGAGACCGAGCCCTGAAGAGCAGGGACCCTGGCTGTCTCATTCAGTGCTGTAACCCCAGAGTCCGTCACTTCCTTCCTAGGGGCTGGGTACATGTGAGCGTAGGAATAAGAGACTGCCACCAGGCAGAAGAGGTGGAGGAGGTCTTAAAAGCTTCCTGAAATACTAAGCAGTATAAACAGAGAAGGGTTCAGACCAGGAGAGCAGAAAGCAAGAGGTTGTTCGGGCTCACGCCCTGCTGCCTCAGAGAAGCAGAGGAAAGGGGCCGGGTGCAAAAACTTAGCAGAAGGTCCAGAGGGCACATGCAGACTGGCCTCAGAGTCTATGTCTAGCACTTAGGAAACTCAGGGGTGGAACCAAGTCTTGTGATCTCAGATAGGGAATGACAAGCAATAGAGATCTGGTTAAAGGGACTTAGGTGGTATCATGCCAGAACTTGCCCCGGCCACAGAGAGCACCCAAAGGTGTGGCCAGTCCTGGGATTTTTCTCTCTGGGCACACATGAGGTTCTCATGCTTATGCCCAAACACAAGATCCCAGCTCAAGGAAGGGACCGAGCCCCATCACTGGTGCCAAGTCTCTGGGTAACCATGCCCTTCCTCCCCCATCCCACAGGCCACCTTTAATGAAACTGCAAACAATCACTTCTCGAGTCCTCATCCTTACTTAGAGGTCATTCCCTAATTTGCGCCAGACACACCTAATTCAATCACCCAGGAACCTCACCTTTCCTAAAAATAGCGATTTGAGAATCTGGGGATCCTTGTTCTCTGATTTACCAGGTTACAGTAGCTCTTGCTTATTATTTCTATGTTCTTTCCCTGTATGTAAAATCATCTCTTTAGCAGACAAGGAGAAATTAACTGGTTGCCATCTGGCTGAAAACCATCATTTCCACTGTGGTCCATCCCGCCTAGTGCGCACTTCTGTAGGCAGACCTGACGCTGTCACCCCTTGGTTTATTTGGCTTCCCGTCTCCAGTAGGTTTGTAGGTTTGCTCCTGTCAAATTAATCTTCAGAATTACTATGAGGCACTATTCCACTTTTTGCTCTGTCCACCTGTACTTCCTTGTCCCTGCATGCCCACTGCCCCCAGAAGCTGACCCTCCTTTCTTCCAGCCCTCGCTGGTCCCTGCGTGCAAGCCGGGTCTCTTCCTCGTCTTTACTCCTTTTTTGTTCCTCTGTGCCTCCTCTCTGGGGATAGCCCATGCCCCAAATCCCAAGTCCTTTCCTTCAATAAACCGCTCCTGAGGGGCGCCTGGGTGGCTCAGTCGTTAAGAGTCTGCCTTCGGCTCAGGTCATGATCCCAGGGTCCTGGAATCGGGCCCCGCATCGGGCTCCCTGCTC